CACTCACTCTCTGTCTCTTTCTCTCTCTCTCTTACTCACTCTTTCTCAGTGACTTAGTTTCTGAATTGACTCATATTTTCATTACAAATATGTTTTTCTTTAGTCTTCCACTAATTTTCAGGACCTCCGAAAACTCTTTTTACCCCAGACATATACTTCTTTCTCATTTAGACCTATTTATCTGTTCCTTTCTTATTTTTAAATATCTTCCCATCCACTTCAAGAGATAAGATTGTATTTAAAACAAATCCTCCTTAGTTACCATAGTTACATATTTCCATGTGGGAAATGAAGAGAAATGTATAGCCTACCATTCAAAAGTTTGGGGTTAGTAAGATTTTTTTCTAAAAAGGAATGAATACTTTTATTCAGCGAGGATGCATTAAATTGATCAAAAGTGGCAGTAAAGACTTGCATTGTTACAAAAATGTAAATGAAAAATGCTGCTCTTTTGAACTGTTTTCAGTATTAATAAACAAAATGTTACTTGAGCAGCAAATCGTCATATTAGAATGGATCATGCTACACTGAAGTACTGTCTGCTGTGTAAAGACTGGAGTAATGGCTGGTGAAATTCAGCTTTGCCATCACAGAAATAAATTATATTTTAAAATATATTAAAATAGAAAACAGTTCTTTTAAATTGTAATAATATTTCACAGTATTACTGTTTTTCCTGTATTTTTGATCATGTAAATTCAGCCTGGGTTCACATATAAGAGGATTCTTTCAAAAACATACAAAAATATTACGGACCCCAAACTTTTGAACTGTAGTGTATAACAGTATATGCTTACAGTATATACTTATGTAGTATTCAATATTTTATTGAGATAGCTTCAAAGACTTACTTACCCCCTAAAAGCTTTTGTGTGATTTGAACACTAGCAACAACAGCATAAATAAAGCCTGCAAACAGTACAATAATAATCCTATACCAGCCACCAATAATAATAATAATAGATTTTATTTATAACGCACTTTATATTCAAACAGAATCCCAAAGTGCACCACATCATTTGTTCACGTCACAGTGCATGCTAGGAACTCACAAACCCAACATTGTTCAATATTTAAAGGGGTCATATGATGCGATTTCAAATTTTCCTTTCTCTTTGGAGTGATACAAGCTCTTGGTGCATAAAGAAGATCTGTAAAGTTGCAAAGACTAAAGTCTAAAATCCAAAGAGATATTCTTTATAAAAGTTAAGAGTCAACCACGCCTACCTAAAACGGCTCGTTCTAACACGGAAAGGCAGGGCATAGAAGAGAAACAATAATGTACAGTATGTGAAAAATAATGTGTTTTTTTAACCTTAAACTGCATAAACACATTTCATTACACCAAATACACAAAATAATGTTCTTTTTAGCAACATCATATGACCCCTTTAAGTGTTTACGTAGTCGACTCACTGTTTGGCTAGTTAGGACAATATTTGGTGCAATATTGTTATTGTTAATGTGTATGTGTGTAATTCAAAGTAATTTCCTTGTATCAGTAAATCAAACAATACTGATGCCTCTGTCCCAGTGGACTTCACAGAGTATGTTTTGTGGACATTGTAATATTTAGTACTAAGTAATTAGATGGGTAAACCTGCTGTTACCGACATCTATCAGATGCTCATAATCACAGTAACTATTTGCTGAATCCATGTTCTTCCAATCACATTTGCTGTTTTTCCTCTTTACATTGTCATCCTGTCTCTGTCCATAAGTCATATTGTAATTAGGACAGTCAATCAATAAAAATGTGATCTGGCTATTTCAATGATATGCTGATTAACTAATCAAGTTAATCACAGTTGATTGTATGTATCAGTATTTGCTTAGAAATGCCCCCCACATGAAGACAGCTGAAGATCATAGGCTTATGTGATAATGGTTCCTCATGTTACCGCTGATTGTGCTGTTGGCAGGTGCCATCGGATGACTCAGTGGGCTTGTTGGCGGAGCCCCAGGTGGCCATGTTTTGTGGGAAACTCAACATGCATATCAACATCCAGAGTGGCAAGTGGGAGCCGGATCCAACTGGCACCAAGAGCTGCATCAGCACCAAAGAGGGCATCCTTCAGTACTGCCAAGAGGTAATGAGAGAAAAAAGAGATATAATATGAGAATGAGTTTTGCTGCAGTGTCAGTGTTACTTGTCAATAGCTTACACAGATTGGAAAACATCATTGTATCATGACTACTTTAGTAATTAAAGTCAATTGACCCTTCGCTAAGCCCCGCCCTCCTTAGTTACTGTTGCTACGCCTGACAAGCGTCCGCGCCTGGCACGTCTATTACAGTATGTATGCACCGGTGTCAGACATTCCCAAGGAGATAATTAGTCATTTTTGGCGAACAGGTGAAATATCTGAGAAAGCAAGACAAAAGGGACTGCAGTATGCATTCGAGGGATATATCCACGACATAATATGCAACCGATTAGAGAATAATTTCATCAAAATTGAAGCTAAAGCCTATAGGTCCCAGCGCAAGCAGCAGCCGCCTCATACGCTGACCATTCAAATGGGAAACACACAAATTGAGGAACAGCTATGTTCATGCACAGCAGGGTAAGTGAAATTTGAAAATAATCTAATAATTATAAATCAAACAGCTTATCCATAAGTCTTGTGGAATAAACACAAGACATTAGCCTCACCACTTTGCAATGATAACATTCTCCCGCTTATATTTTTAGCGCTAGGCTACTGCTCACACGTCGTGGGTCTAATCTACGCCTTGGACCTGGCAAGAGCCAGAGATGCTGAGCTGAGCCATACATCATCAACAACACAAACAAAGTCCTCCTGCACGAGTCTACCACAACAGTGGCAAAAGCCAACGGGTAACAAAATAAGGGCAGTGCCAATATCATCGGTAGTTGTCGCTAAAGCCAATGAAAACCGTATGCGGCGACCAATCGACTGTCGGTATGCAGGAAGCAGGTAAATTGAAAATTATGTTTATGGTTATAGTTATGGGATTTGGCAGACGCTTTTGTCCAAAGTGACATACAAATAAAAACAATACAATAGTTAAAATTAACAGTGAACAGTTTTAAAATGTTGGTAAGACTACATTAAGGAGAATAGAAATAATAAACAATAATGTCAATTCAATCAATAGCCTAATGAAAATAAAACAATACTATAATATACAAACCATAACATTAGAGAGGCAGGTTTCCAAGTACAGCAAAGTTTTGTCATATAAAACCCCTAGCTTTGTATTGATAGGGTATTCTTTTTCAGGACCTTCTCAGGTACAGAGGAGAAAATTGCTTTATTAAAAAGGCAGACAGGAGCACCCATCAGCTACTTGGTAAACAGACCCCCTGTTGACATAACTGTAGGAGGAGAGAGATACCCACTAGGAAGTGGTTTGAGCCATCAGGTAAATGAATGAGATGAAGCAGTATTAAAGTAGATATTCTTTATTGTGTACTTTATATGAAATTCACTCAACTTGTATGTACAGGGCAGTGCAGGACAGTGCACCACGTCAGCGTGATCTTCCTTGACCACTCTGTAAACGGATGTTAAATCTGAAGGCTAGGTCTTTGTGGTCCAAATTTTGTCTTAATTTCATTAAGGTCAGTAACAATTGAGTACGCAGTGAAAGTTGTTTGATCTCATTATTGACACGTTTGTATGAGAGAGGAATGTGTGTTTGTGGTGCACTTGGATCAGTTGGAATGTTAAAAAATTGACACAAGCTGTTAAATTGCTCATAAGAAAACCCTGTGCAGTAGTGGAAATAATCAGGCACATGGCTTTGGTTTAAAATCTCAGGGTTTAAAGCATCTGAGGTGTGTGCATACTGAAGTTCCTTTTGAAGATGATGGAGTTGGCCATCCTTTGCCTCGAGTTGAAGCTTCAGATTTATGATGTCCTGCTTGTGATTGGCTAATGCGTCCTGCAGAGTTCTCAGTTCCTCTCCATGGTCGCCCATATCATGTTCTTCTGTAAATGACAAAAAAGAGAAAGGAAACATGGAATGTTACTAATTTATGTTATTTTCTTCTGTTTAACAGCTTCCTCTCCTTGACTCTGCAGGACCATCATCTGCGAACCAGCCGTCAAACGACTTCCCGGATTTCCCTCTGCCAACACAGCCGTCAAATTTCTGTGCAGTTTAGACCTATCGGACTGCGCCATCTAGAGTGTCATGCCAGAACTCTATAGTTATATAATGGAAATCACAGTAATTAATAGCCAAGGGCCTTCTGAGTATTACATAAGCATGTCAAGTTCTATTAAGTGGTTGAGTTTTGCAATGGCTGATGATTTTATTTAGATAGCTGTGTGGCCGATAGCCAATATAATGCCAATAACATTCAATGGTTTGGAGACAGTAAGAATTTTTTAAAAGAAATTAATACTTTTTTCAGCAATGGTGCATTAACTTGATCAAAAGTGACTGTAAAGACATTTATAATGTTACAAAAGGTTTCTATGTAAAATAAACGCTGTTCTTTTGAACAGAAAATCCTGAAAAATATTTTCAGTTTTCACAAAAACATTAAGCAGTAAAAATGTTTTCGGTATTGATAATAATAAAAAAATGTTTCTTGTGCACCAAATCAGCATATTAGAATGATTTCTGACATGAATAAATTACATTTTAAAAGAACTGAAAACCGTTCTTCCAGATTTTAATAATATTTCACAATGTTACTGTTTTAACTGTATTTTTGATCAAATAAATGCAGCCTTGGTGAACATAAGAGACTTCTTTCATAAACATAAAAAAAAATGTATACCAACCCCAGACCTTTGAACGGTAATGTATGTTTTCAAATGAGAGTGCATAGTACATACAAATATCTGAAATTAAATGTTTATTTTACAAAATATATACTGACAATTTAGTCAAAAATATTTGAACTCTAAATAGACCGTGTTTACACATCCCTGGTCTTATTGTGCAAAGAGAAATTTCTGCAACTAAATATCAGCCATAAAGGGGTTTGAGGTTTTGGTATTGAGAGAAAACGTGAAAAGAAAGGAGGAGTAATTGGAATTAATTATCGCCGACTGTGATGGGAGGAGGAAGGTGATTTGAATTTAAGCCACAAATTGTCATTTTTGCACATCACAATTGTTTATATTTTCTACATTCTGTATGAATTCTGACTTCCCAATGGTTAAAATCAAGGGATCTTTTTTTCTCATCATATAGCCTATTTTACTTGGAAATAGGTCAGATTGTGAAAGTAAAATGGGTTGCCAATGGCTTTTCTGTTTTCTGTTCAGCAGCATCTGGTAATTGTACCCTGACTTGACTCCCACAGGTATACCCAGACCTCCAGATCACTAACGTAGTCGAGGCCAACCAGCCCGTCAGCATCCAGAACTGGTGCAAAATGGGTCGTCGCCAGTGCCGCAGTCACACGCGCATTGTGGTCCCCTACCGCTGCCTGGGTACGTACGTGTGTTTACAAGGCTATCCTTCAACGTGATGCTTACATCAGAGTGCTCCGCCACTCCTGGGGTATTAACCTGGATTTGTGGAACATTAAACTAATGCTTTTAACGTGGTTGTTGTGTGATTTCCTATCAGCCTTCTGCATCAGATAAGATGAGATTCATCAAAACACAATAAGGGTATCAACATTTGCTTGTTGATATTTTACCCTGCAATGAACATATCAGCAGAAATCTATCTGAGCACCTGGTGAGCAAATGTTTGTTTTTGTTTTTTATTAGTTGGGGAGTTTGTCAGCGATGCCCTCCTCGTTCCAGATAAGTGCAAGTTCCTGCACCAGGAGCGAATGGACATGTGCGAGAGTCATTTGCACTGGCACACAGTAGCCAAAGAGGTCAGAGGTCACACCACATGACATTTACACATTCACAAAGTTTTAAAGCCACGGGAAGCTGTAATTTGTACTTGAACAAGCCAGATCTGGCACCTAGTTTAGTGTATCCCTATCTTACATGCTTCTGAACAGATGTTTATGCTATGACTTGAATTTATGTTTACTATGTTTAATATAATTTTTTTTTCTGTTTTTGTTAACCAGAAACATCCAAATATATCAATTCTGTTTGCATGTTAAATAATGGTGTAGGCAGATTATGATTGAATAGGATGTATAATTCATCCCTATCTAACCCACGAGAGTGTTCTACTTATAGCTATGATGACTCAGCAACTCATACCTCTCTCGCTTTCATTCTCCTTCGCTTGTTCTTTGTGGCTGCCCCTCTGCAGTCCTGCAGTGATCGTTCCATGAATCTCCATGACTACGGTATGCTGCTACCGTGTGGCATCGACCGTTTCCGTGGTGTCGAGTTTGTGTGCTGCCCTATGGAGGAGCAGAGGGAGTTAGACAGCGAGGAGCAGGAGGAGGCCAACTCAGATGTGTGGTGGGGCGGCGCAGAGGCCGAGTATACTGACAGCAGGTACACAAACACAAGTAGTTCTTCAAAGCTTTAAGAGTACTGACACTGTTTTCCAGACTAGTGAAAATGTTTATTTTTATTAAACAACGTTTTTTGTTACAATTTACAGTATATTAACAAGATATTTATAAATTATAAAACATACAAAATAAAGAAAAGATTTAAAATAACAGTATTTTTGCAAATTACTCTGTCTCCCCTTTGCTTTAATAACTGCAGCATTTGAGCTGCATGAACACCACAAGTTTGTGTAAAATCTGTTGATTATGTTTTCCAGCCTGATTTGGGAAAGATGAAAAGCATCTCATACAGCATATATTTCGGGGGTCAAAATTTATGCTAAATATAGGTTGGAAACAGTGCTACATATTTTCAAATTGAAAATGTATTCAGTTTCAGCTTTCAAATACCAAAATGTTTTGCCAAATGTACTTGAAGAGGCAAGAAAACACATTTATATATCAATATATGAAAGTGGCCAAAAATGTATGAAGAAATACAAGTGATTTATTGTAAATATATTTTAAAATTAAAATATTAGCAATAAATTTTTGGCCCTTTTTTTGTTATATAATTTTATATAATTATAATTATTTTAGTAATATAATAATATAGGATAGGGACAAATTCTCACTATTAGTTGCTTATTAGCATGCATATTACTAGCATATTGGCTGTTTATTAGGACTTATAAAGCACATATTTTGCATGACCATATTCTACATCCTTAATCTTACCCAATACCTGAACATAACAACTACCGTAAGTCGTAGTTAATAATGAGAACTGGACCTTAAAATAATGTATGACCGTAATATAATATAATATATAAATAATATAAATATATCGAATAAAATGAAATAGAAATCATATAAATATATCTTACTATTTTTGCCATATGTGATATTTGTGCTTTAATTGAAGAATATCTAACCAACTGAACAAAGAAGTTCTCATGACAAACTTGCTTGTTTGATCAATGACTAAGAAATAAATATTTTCTATATTAATAAAATGTAATCAATATGTTCTATAAATAAATATTTCACATTCATATTTAACGTTTTTCATGTTTAACATTTTCCACACTTCTAGAAATCTGTTCATTTTCTGGTTTAAATTCTATTTTGAATCCCATATTTTCAGTGTAGTCTCAGAAATGTATATGTCATGATCTTCATAGATTTTTGCATTACAGCGTACTGAGAGAACAGGCCCCGACCAAACCTGAGCCTGCAGTGACTGAGGATGATGAGGATATCGACAACGAGGAAGAGGATGTCTGGGACAACGATGAAGATGGTGACGGTGAAGATGATGAAGACGAGGAAGATGACGATGAAGACACTGATGAACAAGACACCAGTCAGCAGACCTCCAACGTTGCCATGACAACCACCACCACTACCACAACAGAGTCTATAGAGGAGGTTGTGCGAGGTGAGATTTCATATGTTGACATTATACATTTCAGTGGTACATTTCCAAACATTAAAAACACTAACATACCGTTATGACTACAACTATGAATACTAATGAGATCATGTGGCATTTCAAGACATGAAGTTTGAACCATCATTGTGTAGTTTCTTAGATAGGCAAAACTTGAGCAAAACGTTACAAATGAACACTTAAACAAATCCACTGAGTGTCTCTTCCCCATCAGCGGTATGCTGGGCCCCTCCTCGGTCGGGGCCGTGCCATGCCAAGCTATCCCGCTGGTATTTTGTGGTGCAGACGGGCCGATGCACCCCCTTCGTGTTTGGGGGTTGCGGGGGTAACCGCAATAACTTTGAATCAGAGGAATACTGCATGGCTGTCTGCAGCAGCAGTGTGTGTAAGTCCAGATGTCTCCTGAGAGGAAGTCCATCTCTCCGCTAATCAGCACATCGTCTTTTTCTCACTTTCTTCACTTCGTTCGTGCCAAACTCACAAGCTCAGCAGATGGCTGGATGCTTTAGCTCGCATGGATTACAGGTCTCTGTGAGGTGACTGTATAGGCAGAGCGTCTTGTTCTTTTAGTTTAACCTCCTGCTGTCTTTTCTGAGCACTGGAACTTTTCTTTAACTCTTTAACTCTCCATCTGTGTCTACAGCACCATGGTAAAAGAAATAATATTATTGTGATATAAAAATCAGGATTTAAAATAAGTTAAAACACTGGGTGTAGGGCTGAGTGGTGTGAGACTAGTTAGTTTTACAGTTTTGATACTGTTCTGAATTTTTAACAAGGGTTAGATAATGGGAAGCTGTTTGGGCACTGATGCTGGAATTAATATATGCGTATGTATGTGTAGCCTATGAGAAACAAGAGATCAAAAAATGCAGATGAGCTGAAGGCCACTGTCAAAGAAACCTGGGCTTCCATACCACCTCAGCTGTGCCACAAACTGATCACCTCCATGCCACGCCGAATTGAGGCAGTAATTAAAGCAAAAGGAACCTCTACCAAGTATTGACTACATGTACAGTAAATGAACAACTTTCCAGAAGGCCAACAATTCACTAAAAATGTTTTTTTTATTGGTCTTATGAAGTATTCTAATTTGTTGAGATAGTGAATTGGTGGGTTTTTGTTAAATGTGAGCCAAAATCATCACAATTAAAAGAACCAAAGACTTAAACTACTTCAGTCTGTGTGCATTGAATTTATTTAATACACGAGTTTCACAATTTGAGTTGAATTACTGAAATAAATTAACTTTTCCACGACATTCT